ATGATTAAGTCCTATAGTATTCGCTGTATTATAGCTGTTAATGGCTTCTATTCCTCAATCTTCAGGTACAAGGAGTATTAGCAGAAGTGCATTGTGACAACAGAATGTTTAGAGAAATTTCTTGGGTGACTGAAATAAGCCAATAATTTACGAGTGAGCTCAAATTAGTTGGGTGGGAGAAATAGTGGAGATACAAAAGAAAAATGACTAAAAGTTCAGTTCACAATGTAATGTTTTATTGCAGCTCTGATAGCTATAGCTAATAACACAAACAGAATAAATAAACAACAGTTCACAAGCATTGTATTCAAAATGGGTATAATAGAATGTTTTCTGATTCACCTTTCTCACTGATGCATGAACAAAAAGAGAGGGTGTATCTTGTTTTCTTAAATTTTGATATGGGGATAACATCAGTAATGAACTTCTAGAAATAATTTCTTGGCTATTTTTGTGAGGAGGAAGATCAATGATCCCATCTATCGGGACACCAGAGTAACAGCAGAGTTACTTTTTGCTCTAGCAAGTAAATGAGATGATAATGAGGCCTTCCTGAGCATAGAGAAATTCACAGAATTTCTGTGAAAGAAATAAAATAATAAAATAAAAGTAATCCTTTTATGCCCCCGATATGGTAATTCCTACTAATGATAAGCAGCATGGTTTTCATATTTCATTGATTATACATTTCATTCACCTGAATGAAGTCTTTCAACTTTTGTTGGAGTTCAAAATATTCAACAAATTAAACTTGCATGGTGGACTTTGAAACCAATGAAACTATAATAATAAAGTTTAGGATAACAGACTTATCCATTAATTTAAGGTATGAGATTTTATTAGTGGTTGAATAGTTTGATATGACTCTATCATGTAATGGAATTTTTAAGAGAAACACTCAAAAACATATTGATTATTTTATCTGATCCTGATTGTCATTTTTATTCCTTTTTTCTGAAACCCTTCAAGAAGTATTACTATGCTCTGTGATAGTGTTAACAGGATTAGGGTTAATAGGGTTATTAGGTTAATTTTTTTAATGATTGCACTTTTTTGTCATACTTTTAATTTTTATAATACTTGTTAGACAAAAAAAATAAAATTTAAATATTTTAAATTGTATCAATTGTCTTTAGATATATTACATTGCCTCTAGTGAGATATCCTTCAAGCACACATGATTTCTTAGTTTTCTAACTTACTTTCCTTCTGTGTTTGAATTGTAGGGCTGTTGGTTTTATTTGTTTTGTATCAGTCATTTTACCATCATTTACTTATTCCTTTGTGTTCTATATTTTTAGCTTATAAAAGAATCAAGGTCATTGAGTGGTTAACAAATATACGAAATAGATAAAATACAATTTCACTCCTTTTCTTTTTCAATTTCAAAACGACCAAAATTACTTATTTCCTCAATATTGGTTAAGCTGGATACAAGACTAAGGTAGCTCTTGGAGAGTAAATGTTTAGCAGTTGAGAAGCTTGTACAGATCTGTAAAAGTGGAAGTTTTCTAACCAGCTAAGCCACTGTTTTGTACTTCAAAAGAATGTGCCCATTGATTGAGCTCCATATGTGATGCAAGGCTGAAAGTGAAAACTGGCTTCAGACTTCATTTTTCTCTGTAAACATTCCTGAATACCCAGTAACACTATTCAAAATGAGAGCATACATAATTAACAATGTGTGTTCTTCATGATGTGCATGCAGTATAGGATGTAAGGAAATGGACTTAGCACAACAGTAAAGTGAGTAACTAGCATGCTGCTGAATAGTTTATTTACATTTTTTTAGGGCCATATTAAGAATGGCAGTCAACTGTAATGGAGAACCTTGATAATTGAATAATGAATATATTACAGGGCATATTTATGTACTGTGTGAATTTAAAAATATGTACACTTTTTGATATGTATTCCAGCTTGCTCTTAAAAAATTTGATTCAATAATATTTCATTTTGCATTTTTTTACATGCTAAATATTAACATTATTTGATAAACACACATACAATGATTGGAATTTTAGTGCTGTTTGTTTCAACGTTATAGATAAGAAAAAGAAAATTATATCCCTTTGTGCAGTGGAAAGGCAGTAAGCCAAGAAGATAAATGTTCATTACATTTTCAACTTCAATTTCTATGCTGTTGAAGGAAAAATAACTACTTTATACTGATCAATGTTAGAAATCACTTTAAACTGCTTAATCTGAAAAAAGATTGTTATAAAATTATTTTATGGAGAGATGAGCATTTAATGTGCTAGCCATATGACATTTTTTTAGCTAAGCCAAAAAATATAGCTTGATTTTTAAAATAAGATGTATTAATTGGTTTCAAAATGCAGTGGAACAGTTTCAAGAAAAATGAAATAAATCTTCTCCAGAAACCTATAAAGCTTGACACCAATTGGAAATGAACTGTTCCATCTTGAAATTATTCAAATAGGGAATTAGACCAAAGTCAGTATGGTTATACCAAGAGAGTCAAAGTTTAATGCAAGCATCAGATATTCTATATAGAAAACAATGCCAGTAAAGGATTAGCTCAGGACAGTAGTGGGTTCCGGATCCCATTGCAACCGGTATGATGCAACGGGGCTCAGCGTCCCCCACATGCACGTATGCAGCATGCGCACACACATGCACATGCATCCTTACCTCCGTGATGCCTCCATAATGCCTCCACGATGCCTCTGGGATGCTCCAGCTGCTCAGCGGAGCATTGCCAGGCACCATATGCTACATG